TTTATCGAATGTATTTTAAATCCTGCGATTGACAGGAATCAAGACTTCGACTCTCCTTGAACCAAATAAAATATGGAATCTTGAATAAAGAGATATTGATAGATTTGTCAATAGCCTTAAATTGTCTACGTTAGCTTAGAGCACTAGCTTAATGAGTAGCACAAAGGAAGCTTTTAGGTCACAATGTATAATTATCCATTTTAAAATATAATAATTCTATTATGATAAGTTTTATTTGCCAATCACTTATTTGACATATATAAAAATGTTGATTCTTTTCTATTATTAATTGTTTTTACTTCATTAGTGCAGTAAAATCCATTATGTGTTATAGGAATGAAAAAAAGAATTGAAAATTTATTTTTTTTAAGCATTATACATATATTTTTAGTAGAAGTGACAAGGTTCTTTTACTGATAGGTCGATTTTAGGTACAAACACCACCTCAAAAATCATTAGATTTTTTTAAATTAAAAAAAAAAAGAACTTAGTATTCTTTGAACATTTATAATAATACTCGTAGCAAAACGTTCCTCAATAATAAAAATAGCTAGGGGATTATAATAACCTAAGGAAGTTGCTTCTGCCTCTTACTATCAATTAACTTGAAAAAATTTATTTCTGAATAAAATAAAAGAATTTCATCACATTTTACTCGGTTTCTTTTAAATTTTGATCCACTAAATAATATAAAATAATATATGCAATAAATAATATATTGTAATAAATATTACATTTATATTTATATGCAATAATATTCCCAAAAGTCAAGAACATTTGTATAGATCAAAAAATTTTACACGTAATAATATATGATAAAAAATATTAAGTCCACTGTTTCTAATTTTAATTTAAATATTGTAAATAAAAAATATTTCATATCTGCAAGAATGTAATTAAATAAAATTGCTGAAAAGTGAACATGAAAGACATTAATCATTTAAAATATAAGGTAGTCCTTGATAGTGAACTATACTTTGATCAACACGGTTTATGATTATACATTATTAAATTATTATTATCTAAAAATTTTTAATATATATAATATATCCACATTAGTTTAGAAGACTAGATCAGTTATACTCGTTAAAATTGATTATGTTCTATTAATCTTTGGATAATCTTTTAACAGGAATAGTGCATATCTGAATGTACCTTATTATTCTGGAATCATCCATAAGTATAAGTACATTAAAATAATAGTCTCACAATCCAAATATCTATAAAAAATATAAAATTTTGATTATAATACGTAAAATACACGAACACCTTTTGAGTTCCCTTTGATCAAAGAGTAAGCTTTGATCGGCCATCTAAATATTGTTTTTGTAGTATATCATTATCCATAGGTCTATATTGCTCTACTAATTCTAATTCTATTGTTACTATGTCGTCACAATAGTGGTATGCCCGGTTTGTACGGATATTAAACAATCTTCCTTATGTACCAGACCGTTTTTGACCTGGAACTTTATCGGAAATACATATTTATTTAACATATTTAGGACTTTACAAGCTACTAACACTTTCGGGTGAGAAAACGTTTTCCTGTTTCAAGACCTTGTATTTTGTAATTATTATTATAAATAAATTGAAGAAACATTAAATAAAAATTAAAGAAATAAAAAGTTTGATTTGAAATATTTATCGTAATGTATGGTAATAACTTTATCAAATTTTTAGCATGAATGGTGTATGTATATTTCTGGAAGTATGGAATAAATATATAACCTCCCTAGTATTTTCTAGAATACTCGAGAAAAGAAATAAAAAAATATTAGAGTTCTTCTTTTTGGTTCTTGCTCATATATATATATATATATACATATACATATATATATACATGTATATTATATAATGCACTATATATTAAATGCAATGTATACTATAGTAATTTCTATTAGATAATACATGAGAACACGTGATTACGCTACCACCTGGCGATCATCATTTGGCATTTATATTCTTGGCAAGGCATCGCTGTCACTTTCTAAAGCCAAGAATCTAGCTATGAGAAGTATTTTCACACGATTTATTAATCTAACAAACACCTGATCTAAAATACTAGTCACTAGAATATATAAAATATTCGATTCCGGTACTTAACTTTAAATAGGATTGATGTTACTGACATTTCCAGATCAAAATACTACAAATCTGTTAAGCAGTATTTTGAAATTAAGCGATAATGCTATATAACATATTGTATCAAGGAATAGTTACTAAAGCTCTCCTTAATTGCAAAAGCAGAATTGGGAAGAGTTGAGATGGCTTCTTAGTATCAATTGTTACACATCCTAGTATATTGTATGGTATATCCAGCTCAAGGTATTGCCTATATGAGTACTCTAGACGTCTACAGTCACTAATATTTGCAACTTTATTAAGGGAAAATGAAGTGTGGAAAAAGATGTGTATAATAACATTTTTGCAAAATAATCTTATTGCAATACTAAACGTACTTCAGTATTTGAATACTATTGATGTCATCACTAATATAAGTATATATTAATAACGGTTATAAATAATTCCACTTAGTCTTGTAAAGTTAATATTTCAAAGTACTTTCTGATAAACAGCAATGATGCAATTAATCTATTTGATTACAAAGTTGTAACGATATTATGTAGCAAGAAATGTATAATAGAGATTTTCTGTATACAATTTTTAAACTATATACAAAATTTCAAAGATAAATCTAAATTGATACGGTTTGGAAACTAAATTAAGAGAATAGGAAGAAAAGCCTTCTCTTAGGTAGTATATTTGAAATATCACACTTAATTCCAAGTAATCAATTAACTAAGAAAGTAACTTAATAAGTTAGTAGATATGTGAGTAAATTAGTTAAAAAGTGAATAACCAAGTAATTAAGTAAGTAACAATTTTAATTAATTAAGCATGTAATTAAGTATGCTAAGTGAGTGAATGAGTAACTAATTAAATAGGTAATCAAGTAAATACATGGGTGAAAAAGTAAGTAAAAAAGTAAGAATATATGCAAGTATGTAAGTAAGTAAGAAAGTAATTATGTAAATAAGTAAGCAAATAAGTAAGCAAGTAAGTATGTAGGTAAGCAGGTAAGTAGCAGGTAAGTAGGTGCACAACTAAGTAACTAACTAATTTAATAAATTAAAAAGTAAATATCTAAGTTACTTAGGAAGTAAGTAACTAAATAACTAAATATAGTTAGTGCGGACTCTTGTTATAATATTATAGGAATCATTATTAAATTCAATTAGTTTTAGTTATATTAAAGTAAATTAGTGTACTCTGAATTACAAATTTGACACTAATATCTCAATAAGTATCTCATATTTAAAAATCGAAAAGCACGCAACTATAATAAAATCATCACCATTTGGGTCTGATTACTTGTCATTGTAGAATTGTGTGTGGATTAATTAAATGATAACTAAATTAAATGATTAAAATATTTACATGTCAAGTATTCTTGTTTGTTGTATTAAATAAAACAAGATATGAATAGAATATATTATAATTAAAAACTTATCTGATACTAAGATTAAGATTTCTATGCACACCTTTCGCAAAATTCTTAAGGTTTTTTTGAAAGAATTACTTCCAGTTTATTTATGATCGCGCACTTGAAGTTATTAAGTAGATGTCAATCACTAAAACAACCTTTGCGACATTTCAATAAAAATACGTAAAAAGCGTTGCATTTAAATAAAATATTATTGCCAAAAACTGCTTTACCAAAAGTTACTATATGATAACAGTCCAAAACAGATTAATTTTTGTTAAATCAAATCGAACATTTCTTATTTCTCATCGAAAAGGGTTTGTAAAAAGTAACTGGTGCTCGTATATACCTATATTCATAACTAATAATTAAAGCAATAATCCAAACTGCAGATCTATATATATATATTATAAAGAAGTCTTAAGAAGTATTGTTAACATAATAATAAATCGTTGATAGGAATATAAACACCTATTCTGTCTTAGTACAGGCGCACATAGAACCCAATTTTTGGGACACTTGATACGCGTTGTATATTTTTCTTATCAAAAATTTCACTTTTTGCTCAATCAAAACAATCATTTTATTACTCATTCAATTATTTATCAATAAAGCTTTGAATACAATTTTTTTTCCAAAATCCATTCAACTCTTTTCACAAATTCTTTAAGAGAAACAGTTAGTTGCTCTCCGGCCTTGCTATTGTGAATTTTGAAATTTTTTTGAATATAAACAAAGTATTTTTGTTTGTTTTATAAACAAAGCTTTTAAATAACACTAGAAAATATAAACAATTTCTTATAAATTATAACTAAACAATTTTAATAATGGGATCTCAAACTTCGACGATGGCACTCGGACATTAATCTTCTTCTCCTTGGACCTATCAGTAATTCCTCCTGCGCTTTTTCGAGTTCTTCCTTCTCTCTTTTAGCATCAGCAGCAGCTTTCTTGATGTACATAACTCGGAAGAATTCAACAAAATCAATATTCTCAACTTTACCACACATTTTCTGCATAAACGGAAAGTATCTAGGATATTCCTTATATTTTAACATTGCATTGTACAAGGAGGTGCGTTGTTGTTCTTCATGTAAGTATCTTTTATGTGCTTCCTTATGCAGTTTCCAATTGATTGAACTCATTAATTTTCTTTGTTCAAATAGAAGATTCGGTTTCAGGAAAGGGAATAGTGCTCTAAATATTAATATTGGAGGATTACATATATAGAATTAACTGAAAACAAAACATTGTAATGCTTACTCCTTGAAATGATAGCGCTGGTGTTTGAAATCAATTGCATCAAATGGGTCTAAGAATTTATGTATTTCGCTTGTGCTTCGTAATGCCCTAGGCACTTTGCAATACGTGCTAAAAATAAAAATATATTATATGAATAATTAATATATGGATATGTATACATTTCTATTGTTTTAAAAATAATTTATGTAAATATATTTAATAGTAATAGTTAACAATAGTAATAGTTAACTACTTCAAAAACATTCCTGTATTTCAAAAACTTCAATAGATATATTATTCTAAACATTAAAATGAACATCCAAAAGGATTATTTAAAGTATTATATATAAACTGATTAAATAATTGGATAAGTTAAATTTATTTGTAAATTATTTAACATTTCAGAGTAGAGTAATTAAAGTCAATATACGATTGTTTTTATCTTTTCTTAAGTAAGTTCCAGTAAAAACAAGCCCTATGATACATATGAGCGTGAAAGTAAAGATTATAGTATTCAGATCAATTATTAGATCGTAATTGCAAGTGGAGGAAGAATTTCGCTTCAGCACATCTATTTGGAATATACACTATGGTCGTTAGAAAAAGGTGATGAGTATTTTTACTTTTTAGAACCATAAAACATCCTTCTCGTTTGCTTAAACTAACTTTTGTGTTAAGAAAGGTCTATTCTATTAGCATTAAAATTATTAAGTTTTATTATCAAACTGGCATTTACCAAATAAAAAAATATATTGAGCAAGTATTTATTCTTTTTTTTCCAGCAACATACTTCAGTATGGATTTAAAACAAGATGATATAGGATTCGGCAGGTACACTTAATATGTGATTTATTATCCTTGGGTAAGATCTTAAATATACTTTGTTTTTTCTTCTTAAAAAATTTTTTTTTTTAATTTTTCATAGTCATTGAAAAGTTCAGTTAACAACAAAATTGATGTACTTATAACTATAGCTTCAACATCTCTCACTCTTATTCAATTTGTTTTTAGTTAAGTGTACAAATGGGCTCTTCCATCTAAATTACTAGAAAACTATTTATTATATCATTAATTTATTTTTATTTATTATTTATTTACACGAGAAATTTTTGTTGTAACCCAGATTTAAATTACAGTTTGATACTGGTTAAGAAGATTATAATATCTCTTGCGTTGATTTTATTAGGGCATATAGACTAAAGAGATTTCTTTGGGTAAAAATTAATTACGGGATGTTTTGAAAATTTATGATTTTTAAGCAAATATCACATCATCAGTAAAAATCATCTTGAAAATATTAAATCCTCTAGTATTGTTTCCTAATCAATTCATCACTACTCACACTATAACCGTGATTTTTTAAAATTAAATAGATGGCATCTCAAAAGGGAAAAAATAAGTAGTTATTAGGCTTGAAATATAATATAATGATCACAACACTTATACTATATTCAATATACCATATATCAATATATGCAATATATATATTGAGATATATCTCAATGGATACATATTCCATTATATATTCTAAAGCTGTAAGTTTATGTGATCACACACCATTCTTGTGATGTGAGGATCAATAGGTGGCCAGATATACCAAGATGAAAAGTTAATAGGAAATTTTTGTGTTGAAATCGACTTTAGTGGTGGGATATAATCTACATTTTTTTAAAGAAGAAAGCTAGGAATTAAAGATAAACCGTGTCGGATTAGTTTTGTTTTCTAGGAAGTGAAAAGTCTTATGAGATCCATATGAAGTATTTAATGCAACACAATATAAAGAATAATAAATGTTGAAGGAATTTTTGAAACAGATCTCAACCCTGCATTAAGGTTGTTTAAGTCTCATGCAGTATGAATATTTGTAAAAAGTTTTTCACTATACTGTAATACTATATAGTAATATTCATTTTATGTGTGCTGTATAAAGCATATAGATTATATGAGTTTGCAGTACGATTTTCTTACCAATAGCTTTCTAACATAGAAAATATTCTGCGTTCGAAGATAGTTTGCGTTTAAGTAAGTCTTCTTTAAAATACAATACCGAAATACTTTGCCTCCGTCGCATATAGGTGGAGAAAGAGTTGAAACCAAATATTCCTTAGTAAATACATTCTGCTCAAAAAGTATCCGGATTTTGTTGTTTGTTAACTACTCCTTAAGTAATAGACCTTTTTCAAAAATTTTTTATGTTATGTTGGTACACCCTTTCTTGACATATGGTACAAATTTGAGCGCCATCTGTCAATTAGTTTGTTTACAGCAGATGTTAATGTGAGACTACCTCAAGTGCATGTCGTTTTTTACTATGGAAAATTCTTTTTTCTATAGTGTTTTGACCAACACGGCAACTTTGTCATCGCTCAGGCACCATATTCGCCAGATCTGGATCCGTGTGACTTTTTCTTTTTCCCGAAACTCAAATTGCACCTTTGTGGTAAGCGTTTTGAGTCAATTGAATCGGTAAAAGAGAATTCGCTGAAGGAACTAAAAGCCATACCTTCACGGGCCTACGAAAAGTGTATGGAAGATTGGGTTAAGCGTTAGCATATGTGTATCGCTTCTCGAAGGAGCATATTTTTTGAAGGAGATAAAATAAATTTGAAATAAAATTTAAATTTGTGTGTTTTATTTACAAAATCCGAGTACTTTCTGAGCAGAAGGTATTAACATTTCAATTTTGAACATTTACATATTAAAAATCTGAAAGTATATAAAAGTATTAACTCGGCTAGAGTACATTGAAAAATTTTATTTTCTTTGTAATTGTAGATCAAAGACTTTTCAAAGAGATAACCAAAAAAATTGAAAATTTTGAGTTTCCTAGTGTAGCCTCATAATTCTTTTTTGTTGGATGTAACCACAAGTCCGATAAATAATTAAGTATTCACATAATATTAAAGATTGTATATAAATATACAATTCTGCAGTATTTCTATAAATGTTTAGGCAATGTGATTTAATATATATTGATCTCTTCAACCTTCTGTACACCAATGCACTTAAAATTATATTCAATTTTGTGGTAATTTTAGATTAAAATATTGTATGGGTATTTAAATTATTTAAAATCTATATTTTAAATTACTGTCTTCGATTGATACGAAGAGTTTTACTACAGAAATATAATAAATATATTAATTAATTGTCAACGAAATGCAAATTTAAGCACGTATTAAAAAAAATGTCATGAACATAATTATGATAATATTCATGAGATTTTAAGAATAAATATATACACTAAAAAGAAAATATGATCCATGCCATAAAACAATTTGATGTTAGTTTTATTCTATACCATATTTCATATAAAATCTATCATATTGTGTATGCACATGCATACTTGCTCTTAGTGTAGGGTACATGAGACAGTTTCATATGACCATGTGTAACTTGTCATCATATACTTTAATGTAAAACACTTCAAGATAGTTTTTATTATAAATTCCATTTTATTTTTTGTGTTATCAATGTTGAGAGAAAGCTTTGCACTCAATGTGTGAATCGAGACAAGTAGCCAACAAACTCATAGATAGTCTTAAACTAATAGTTGCATTTCAAAATAGCAGCGGTGAAGACCACACAACAAACACGAAATACGAGTCTACGAGAATGACTGACACTGTACCAGAATATTTAAGTGTTGATCTATTTGAGAAGGTCATAAGCAATTATAGAGGAGAAAGTATTAAAATTAAAGATGTCAAATTTAAGGTGATCAGTTCAAATGGAGACAACTACTGCAGCAATGTGTATCGAGTATGTTTGAACTTAGAGGATGAAAGAAAAGAGCAATCTACATTAACATTGATTGTCAAAGATTTGTTTAAAGAGATAGCACACTTGCAGTTGAAAGAGTTGGATATGTATAATAAAGTACTTAAAGGCTTAAGTGATATCTTAAAAACTTCTGGAAATGATGATTTAGCAAAAATTAAATTTTCGCCATAGTAAGTAAAAGCTGTTATTGTTTTAATAATATTTCAGAACGAAAAAAAAAATTAATTATTTATTTATAATACAATAATACATATTGAGAATATTTTATTCTATTTGTTTATCTGCCATACATTTTTTATTTCAATATTAGTTGTTTATTGGCTACAAGAGAATTTGGGGAACTCTATATTTTTGAGGACTTGACTGCAATTGGTTATGAAATTGGCAGTCGCTGGCAGGGCGTAAGTGAGAAACAAAGCTATTCTACAATCAAAAAATTAGCACAGTTCCATGCTACCTCGATGGTACTTGTAGAGAAGGTAAGGTTTGCTTTATATTTTAGAATTGATTTAATAATTTGATATCAAATTTTTATTTCATTTATAATACAATAATTTTATTATATATATATTTTTTTTTCATTATTCATTGACATTATTTTTTAATATATTTTTTAGTATATTTTTTTATATATTATGTATTTGTTTATTTTATTTTTTGATCAATTTTGATCAACCACAATTTTTTGACATATGTGTATACAAATATATGTTTTTCTAAAAATTAAAATTTGTTTCTAAAAAAGGTTTGCATATGCATTTTTGAATTGTTTTAAAATGTTGTATTTAAAAATTGTAATTAATGTTATATTTTTAATTATGAGATTATTATATTATTATTACAGTTTATATTGTCTAAAAAACTTGTTTAATTAAAATACTTATAATAATTGTTCATTAAAATGCATTTTTATTACGATCATGCGTTAAGTATTTGTATTTAAATTTTTTGAATAATAATATAATAATATAAATAGTAGTAATAATAATTATAACTACATTTATTATAAGTATTTCACTTCTATTAATCTTATACAATAATACTGTTGATATTATTATTGTTATAGTATTATTATCATATAATAATATATTTTGGTATTATATTTCTTACAAACCGAAATAATTGCATTATTGGTTTGTTTTTTACTATTATTACAGCTGTTATAATTATTATAATATTTTAAATTATTACAAAAACAATTCTCGCCTAGATATATCAGAAAACTATATATATATTCCTTTACCATGCACTAACCATAGTTTACAGCAACCGTGCAATCAAAAATAGGGACCCAAAGTATGACATAAAAATAAACTGCAAATATTTTTGCGAAAAGTGTTCCAGAGAATTTGTGGAGCTGTACTTAGTAGCTCATAATATCAACTTTTGCAAGCAATAATCTCTTAATGAGTTAGAAAAGCTATTAATGTACCCAAGATATCTGACAACCGTAAGTGTTTTGAGAGTATTCACCATTAGGGAAACTTGTATGAAAGTGGATGATATATTTAACAAGATTATAAACCAACTAGTTAAGCCGCTTTATAATCCTTGAATCTAGTCCAATTTTTATTTAGGACGGTTTTTGATTGCTACATATCTCTAAACGAGATATCAACGCAACTCAAGATCTCTCTAATCGGGGTTTCTGGGCATAGAGATATTTTCGGCACTTGTTAAGCAGACGAACTAGCCAGAAGGAGTGCTTCAGTACCTCATTTGTAAGAAGCCGATAAAAGTGTCTCTCATCTGCTTTGTATTTGCGCAGCTCATGCACAGCGGTGACTCGTTACTTTAGGAGCGCCTTTCTTTGACGATTTTGATCAACTACAAGACCTTTCAAGCACCGTCAAAGATTCCAGATGTCTTTAAATACTGAGTTTTTAATAATTTAATATGTTTCAATTGTATCTAGATTTGTTATATGCATTAAATTATTAATTATTTTAAATAACTATTTTATTAAATTAATATTAAATATTATTACTTTTGTTATAATAATTTCTGTAGAGTTTTTATAGTTTAATATTTAGAAGTTTCGGTAATAATTATATATTTTTATAATTATAGCAATTATTAAATTTGATTTTATATTTCAAAACTACAAAAGTTAGATTTAATTATTGACATTATGAATAACGTAAAAAAAAATTTGCAAAAAATGTGATATATGTTATTGGATAGAGTAAACAAGTTACCGATTCGATTATTGAATATAACGAAGTTAGTTGAAATAGATATTATAGAAGATGATGGCATTGATAATAATAATGAAATGTCTCTGTCTCTGCCTCAGTTCAAATTAGTTCATATAACTAAAAATCTACTCTATTGTTTTCATATATTAGTTGTATTAATTGTACTTAAATTATATTTATTATATATAGAGATTAAAATTATAATTATTATTAAATGTTTAATAATTTTAATATTGATATTATTAATGAAATAAAAATAATTTATGTATAAAGGTATAACTACATATATCTAAACAAAATTATTAAAACAATATTTTAAAAAGATATCTAACTTGAAATAATGACAGTGCCTATAGTCAACACATATTGTATAAATACAAAAACAAAAAAAAATTAATAATTATTATTTTAAATATTTCGTCCATATTTAATTATTTCAATAACTGCAAATTTATACTTCTAATTATTATATTATTGTATATATATTATTATATTAATTACGTTTATAATTAAAATTATTAATATTTTATTGTACAATATTTTTTAGTTTAGAAAAATATCTACGAATTCTAATTCACAGTTTAAAATTTTTTAGAATCCCAGCATTATTGATTTAATCAAGGATTCTCATTTTAAAAATGGCCCTCAGGATTTTTCTGCAAATTTTGTTTATGGCAACATAGAGAGTGCAATTAAGTATTTAGATTCTCTTGAAGGCTTTGAAGATATGGCAAAAAAGGTGCGAGATAATTGCAACAATTTTTCAAAGAAAATTCAGGCAGCTGTAAATACTGACCTATGTCAATTTAAAGTATTAAATCATGCCGATCTTTGGGTGAATAATATATTATTTAATTCTGAAGACGATGCAGTATTTGTATGTATATTTTATTTTTTAAAAGATATATCTTTTAAATAAGATTATTTCTTACAGCTTGATTATCAACTATCATTTTACGGAAGTCCTGGTATCGATTTAAATTTCTTTTTACACACCAGTGTTCGATTGCAAATCGTACAAAGCAACCGATACAAGTTTTTAAGATATTATTACAACAATCTAAAGTTAACTCTGAAGAGTCTAAAGTATGAGAATATACCAACCTTCGAACAACTAATAGAAGAAGTACGAAGAACAGAGTTTTATAGTTTTTATGCAGTTGCAGCGGAATTGCCATTGATGTGTTTAACCCCTGAACAGTCTAAAACTATGTCTGTTCCGGCATTTTCAAATCCAGAGATAATGGAACAAATGCGAATGGAGTTGTTTTCTAATGAACGTGTGAGAAAAACACTTGAATACTCTTTGGACCGATTAAATGAATTAGGAGTTTTGGATTAATAATTATGATAAGTAATTGTAATTCTGATGATATGGAATCATATAAAAGCGCTATTAAATATAACTAAACTAATTACATTACATTATAAAGAAGTATTTACATAGTTATTTTAAATAAATGCTTTAATAATTTTAAAAACATTATGAAATATATATTTGTACAGTAACGCTAAATTTTTCTGATATAAACTTTCTATTAACTTGTGGAAGCATACATATGTTAGAATTCTAATAGTACTGAATAGTACTTTAGTCAAGCTAGATAAAATTATGCGTAGCAGAGAAGGCTTTAGCAAGTTCTGCCTTTTAAGTCTCTTATACTGTTATGGATAATAAATACCTGTATTTTGTGTTTGTAAAGGAGTTGTGACCTAACAATATATACAGCGAGAGTAACTTAAATCAGAGATATTGACTATGTATATGCAAAAAAATGTATGTATCTTTTAAAATACCGATAAACTAGAAATAGTGTTTAAGTTGCTGGCAAAACGAATGAAATTTGTTAATTATAAATAACAAATTTTTAAGAAACTTCTATACCCACATCAAGTTGAAAATGCGAAACGTTGCACCAATATATGATATAGTGTTCTCCTAATTATACTTTAGATTGTAGATTAACATCCTTTTTGTTCTGTTTGGAACTTGCTTCCTGATTATTTTTATAAGCTCACTAATATAACCTCACTAATATTCTTATATATTATATATATATTAAAGCAATTATATATTAAAGAATTTTTTGTAGTTGTTTTAATTTAACTTCAAAATCAAAAAAATTTTACAATAGCGATTTCATTATGAACATAATAAAATATATCACAGTTTCTTTTCATTTAAATTTAAAATATATAATTAATGATCACTATATTGCAAGAAAGATTCATTGATTAGCAAAAAGTAATAAAAAAAATATGCCAGTTATATGCACCAAAATTGTTTGCTGGGATATAAATTTGAACAAAAAATTGTTAGTGTTTTTTCTTAGTAGTTTATGGACAGGCATTGCTTCACATATGGCATATCGTAGTTTCGATTGTCTTTACACATCCGTAAGCAAGTTTTTATATACATAAGCATATGAAGTGAAATAAAGCAGCGAATTTATATATCAAAGAGTTTTACAAAACCAAAAGTGCAATATATATCTATAACTTTATATATCATATCACTCTTTCTTTAATTTAATATAACAGTTATCGTTAAAGAAGTTTCATTTGGTGGGCTACATTACTTGAAAGAATATTGAATGGACACTATATTTTGAAAAACAGTATTTTGGAAGTGTCTATAAGTCAATTATTTAATATTAATATGGTAAAATGAAACTTCTTCACTTAAGTCCAGTCTTAATTTAAATCTTAAAACTGACTTATGTATGATTTAAGTGAATAAAATAGAAATATATATTTGTTGTACTGTACATTTAGTACATATAATGCTCATAATGTTATTTTACTACAGTATATTGTTACTCCTAACGCTATTTTTATTTTTATTGTGATCACTCTTGTTTTCTTTTAGTTACTTTGAAAGTAGATATATATATATTAAAGATGCTTTAAAGATTCTAAGCAGATTTTACTGAAGTAGTCTTCCCCGAATTTACTATATTTGTTTTAATCCATTTAAAACCAATATTGTTGCCTTAGAACACTTTCATTTATCGAACCTGCAAACTGGGAATGACTCAACAGTTATATGTATTTTACAGATAAGTCCGACATTATCTTCACTAATAAATTAAGTACTGTGCGATTGCCCCAGTTGGGGAATATAATATTATCAATTAAAATCTTTATGAGCTGTAATTACAATTTTTGCAATTCATGGTTATTTTTATCGCTAAGTAGGTTTATGTTTTGTTTTTATATGTGAATTCAAAACGGCTTTCTTAGCTAATTGTGGAAGATTCGCTGCTACTTCCACCTCAACTAACTATGTATGTACTTTCCACACTACTTAATATTTTTAGTATAGTTTAAAGAGAACTATTATATGTTGCAGTATTCATATTTTATGTACGATATAATATAGAGTTCTTAACTGTCGCAGTTGACCGACAAATTAATATATTAAAATTTATGATTTCATATAATAGAAGCAACCGTCTAATTTATTTATGTTAGTATGAGTCGAGTATGACCGGCATTTTTTACGATATTTCGTCTCTGATAAGTTCTGTAATTGTTTTATTGATGTTTAGCGAAAAAAAAGTTGTCGAATTAAAAGCTCTTCGTTCAGTGAGAGTAAAGTAAACATTAAAATAGAGTGAGCACACTTTAGTAAAATAGTTTAGTGCTGTCAAAACATTCAATAGATGAACACGTAGTATTTTTATAAATTTTGAAATGAGCAGTCCAATCAAATTACCACAATTTTCAAATGAAGAATTTTTTATAAAGGCATTAAAATCAACATATGGCGATGATATTAAGATCAATAACATTGAATTTAAACTGATAAGTGGCAGTGGTGATAATTACTGTAGTAATGTATATCGGTTTCATATTACATTCAAAGCCGGCACTAATGATGAAACTTTAACTGAAACATTAATTGTGAAAGATTTATTAGATATTATAGTTAAAAGTAATACAAAAGAATTTGATATGTATGAAAAGGTTCTGAAAAAATTAGAGTCTATAGTTAATGAGTCGATAACAACTGCCGATAAAAAAATAAAATTTGCGCCAGAGTAAGTCAAAAAAAAAAAGTAATATATTGTTCTTCATCAATAATTTAAAATTTCTTTATCAAATTAAAAAATGTGTGATATTGTTTTATAGATGCTATCTACTAACTAGGGAATTTGGTGAAACTTATGTATTTGAAGATCTAAACGCTAAAGGTTATCAAACTGTAGATCGTTGGAAAGGTTTAAGTGAGTCACAATGTTTTGCCACATTGAAGAAGTTGGCAGAATTTCATGCAGCGTCGATGATTTTCGCAAAAAAGGTGAGAAAAGGTTGAATTGAATAAAATTATTGAACAAGTTTATATATTATAATTTGTTTAGATAATTATTACTTTTAATTAAGTAATTTTCTATATGTATGAACCTACTCTTGCTGTTAAATTGTTCTTAATTAGTTTCATATATACCTTTTATTATAGCATCCTGATTTAATAGAATTAATTAAAGACTCACATTTTAAAAATGCTCCCAATAAACTAATGTTAGTAATAAAAGAGAATATCAGGGCTGGAGCCTTGTACACCAATAAACTGGAAGGCTATGAAGAAATCGTAGAGAAAATAAACAAAAATATCGAATGCTTTGTTGAAAGAATGGAAGCTACTGTAGATGACGCTGACTGCAGTTTTAAAGTGATAAACCATGCAGATCTTTGGTCTCCAAACATTTTGGTAAAAGGTACCCCTGATGACACAGAGGATGTTACATTTGTAAGTTTTATAAGAAATTGAAAGTAATTTAATATTATTTACAAAAGTAATTTATTTGCAGTTGGACTTTCAATTGTGTTGTTATAGCAGTCCTGGCATTGATTTAAATTTCTTATTACATACAAGTTTGCCATTGGAACTCATGCAAAGTAAACGATATGAATTTATAAGATATTATTATAAAGTCCTTAAACAAACTTTAAAAGATTTAAATATGCCTGAGATTGATATACCGACATTTGATCAGTTAATGGCTGAAGTGAAACGCACGGAATTTTATAGTTTTTATTGTGTTCTATCGGAGTTACCATTACTATGTTTAAATCCCGAACTTGCAAAACACATGTCCATCATTTCATTTACAGACACTGAATTCATGGAAAAGGTCCACCATAGTATGTTTGATAATGAACGCGTTTGTAAAACTTTAAAATACACGTTAGATCGTTTGAATGAATTGGGGATTTTAGACTAAGAAATAAAAATATAAAATGCCGTCGGAATGCTGCCAAATACCACCTATTATTCATAAAGTCCTTTTATAAATACTATTTATGATTGATAGTAATAATATGATAATAAAATAATAATTAATTGAAAAAATTAGAATTAAAGTGCCGTTTCCAAAAACTGGGTCTTATAAGTTTGTCAAATTATAAAGTACTACAATGGTACAATGGAAGTTTTGTGTAGTTTTGAATTGGTCTTCTTCCAAATTTCTAGTTATATATGTCAAATTTCTCAATAGCTGATTCTTCTAAAATGCATTGTCAAGTAGCCGTGATTGGAAAATCGAAACAATATGTTTTTATTGGGTGAAAGAAAGTATGAGTTTTTAATAAGTAATAAGTTTAAGAATTGTTATTTTAATATTTTTTATTTCCAATTTTTGTTAATAATGTAGTATAAGAAGTTGCATTTATGGCAATAAAAATGTATTTAGATACCTGTATATTTCACAGAACATTCCAATTAAGTACTATTAATAATAATTTAAGGCAGAGATTTATTTTCTTTAAATTATTTAGAATTTCCAAATAATTCACAGGCGATATTTTGCTAAAAGTTTTGAAAAAGTTTGTTCTGAAAAATTAAAATTAATATCTAGTTACTATATTGATATGTCATCAGTTCATTAAATTTCCAAAATCTTCTCAACGGAATTTTACCGATTATAAGAGTGCAGTAAGTGATAAGCAAAGGCAGCACTCTTATCATCAACTTTCGTTAGTTTATTTTATTCCATTTCTAAAAATATGTAATATAATAATAATGCAATTATTATCTTCAGAAACTATTTTCGGTAAACATTTTAGACTCAATTACAAACTTAATTACTATTTTGTAAGACTTGACTTATATTCACTCTTTGATAGGCCAGTATACACCAGTGCCGAAACATTTTGCATTTGAATATATTTGGATTTCCTGCTGACTTATTTAGAGGTCGTCAGTTGAAGTAATTCCACTTCTAATGAATCTGGCAAGATTAGAATATCCCACTGTTAAGTTACATAAATAAATAAACTTGGTAGAGGTACCAAATTGGAGTTTACAAATTTAGTTTTATTTAGCAATTGTGCAAATGAGTGTGTATATAGAAGAAGAACCATTTTTATATTGTTGTTTATTTTAACCAAAAAGTCAATCATTATCACAATTTAGAAATGTGTTGAAAAATAAGACTATTGTTAGCAACTGACAAGAAAAAATTACATCTAAATTTATTATATATAAGCCAACATTGGAATAAATTAACAACATTAATGCTTAACTATTGTATGTATAACATCTAAAAGTAAACAATGACAAGCAATAAATTGGAGTGGTTTTTTCATATAAATATTGCTTCCAAAAATTAATTTTATTAATTTACATAATTTCGATGTGAAAATTGGACTTATCAACAAAACATAAATTGCTATGCAACATGACGATGATGATTAGTTTAGCAACATTTATGTAGCAAGTATTGTTGCTATTGTTGTTTCGTTGTACATTTATTTATATTATTTATTTAAAATAGTTGATTTTAATATAGTTATAATAACTTGAAAAAATAAAATGAAATCAAATGGATGAGATGAATTATATATATTTATTAATTAGTATTATAGGTATTATACATGTAAGTTGGTAACGGGCGAGTTAATATCTTAGCAACATGTTTCGGCTGAAGTTAAAATTGTTTCGTGGTGGAAATAAGCACAACATATTCCCTTGTTTATTACAGACAATAAACATAATAGTTATTATAAAACTTAGTCGGTAAATACAGTGAATTGGTTTTAGAAGCTAATAAGCAAAGACGTTTCTGTTTTCCTGAAAAAGTAATTATATATCATTTTAAAAACACATTCTTCACAAGAAACACTATTTTTTAACCATTTAGGAACTGCACTATAAATATTGTGGATAGCTTCCGATTTCTATCACATTTGTTTTTACCAATCAGTAAAAATTTTTATTTTTATAATTAAAAAAAAAAGACAATTTTTAACGGAAAGGTTTCCAAATAAACTCCGTATTTAATTATGATATTTTTATATAAGTGTTTTTTTAAAAAAATTGTAAATCAAATTAATTCTTGTTACTGAAATAAACAATTTATTTTAAATAAATATTATTTTTAAACAGAAACTGAAGCTACCTTTTTTTTGGTATGGACTATTATTTAAAACAAGAGTACTAAATATACAATAATATTAGCATATAAAATTTTATTTAGAAGCTTTCAAGAACTTAACAGATACATATATTTTTATATATCTAATTTTATTGAGTGTACTCCAATAATATTTTATCTCACTGAGTGAATATTGTATATTATTTTTATGTACAATATTTAGAGTATATTTTGAGTCACGTCAAAACATTGCCTGTTTTAATATGTAAACATATTCTAATAATCATACACTATGAAGAGAAAAATTAAGCCGATTATGCTGAGAGAATCTAAAAAATACTCCCAATTTTTCCAACTTAGAAAATAAACTATAAGTTATTCAAGTTATAGGAGAGTAAAAGGACTTGAATAATATTGAGCATTTTGTTTATTATAAATTATAACATTTAATTTATGTAAGATATAGTTGTCTATACATAATCCCACTTGACTTATATATATATATATCTATTTTCTCTGAATAATATGAACTTGTGATTACACCACAAGTTATACAGGTTGTTGGATTATCTTGTTGGAACCATTTATCATTCAAAACGAAATCATTAAAATTGTGGATTTACTCGCATTTTGTGTTTTTGCAGTACTGTTTAACCCGACATTAATTTTATAAAAACGATGATTTTCCCATGAAATAATGGAACTTTGCCAAGTCCCAAACTGTGCAACTTGTACGCAATAGATGGTTGCTTGGTTTAAGTTATTAATTCAACTTCTGTTGAAGTCCTGTTATGCAAATCTTTTTGATCTATATATTTAACTTCTGTTGAACTCCTGTTATGCAAATCTTTTTGATCTATATATTGTGTTGTACCATAAAAAAATTCAAGTTCTTGAAAATAATGACTCATTTTGTATTAATGAAGAAATATTGGGGAGGATATTGGTTGTTATCCTCCAATTTCGAGAGTCACGAATTTGAATAGGACAAGATTAATTTCAGTGAAAATAATTTATGTTTAGAGCTGCAAAATCATATGAAGATATATAAAAATTGTACACAATAATTTTAAAGAAACAATAAGGTCACTATTTGGTGCAAAGTAAAACATTTGAAATAGATGAAATATTATTGGGTGTGTCAAAAAATATTCAGTGTTTAAACATTTACTTGGTTTTTATCTCGATACGATTTATTTATCAAATTTGAAAATATATTTTATATCTGAACATTAATGGTTTCCACAAACAAAATTTGCTATGTAATACATCCGCTTTTATTTGAAGGATACAAATTTTTATTATAAGCATTAATTATAAGCATTATTATAAGCACACTAAGATACAATATTCTTAAGTTAATTAAAAGCAATTACACGTATAATGGGTGATAATGTAGTAGATTGCATTACCTATGGTTGTGTAATAATGGAGTGGGGAAGGGATATTTACTACACACGCCTATTACTAATGGACTTCATTTGACCACAATTAGGAATTTCCGTAAATTGTGAAAATATTATTTACTTTATTATCTGATGCATTTTTTCTTTATCATCTGGTGTTAGACACAACCTCGTGGTACTAATTTGATTTTGAGTGCTTCGTAATTTGAAAATAATGCTGCAGTAAAGCATATGTGGAGCTATTCTCTGCGTTTCGGTAAATTGCCACCAAGCGTACACAGCTCTACTGTGGGTATAACAGGCAAAAGTCAAGAAACAGTATCGGTGCTGACGTTTTATATACGACACACTGGCGTGTATCGTTAAATCTATACAACTGCCAAGTATATAAATATAATTAAGTAAAATTTTAGAAATATTAAAATGTAAAATGTTTCTTATAGACGCTCAAATCTCCAACAGTTTTATATCTGAAGGAGGTTTGTTATCTCTATCTTGATTTACGGAAGCAGAGTAGAGGTAACAAACCTTCTTCGTCTATAAGAAACATTTTACATTTACACAAAAAAAAAAAAAATGAATGAATGAATATATCATAACCTAATTGCTGATAGTGTTTATGTTTTTAAACATAAGATCCTTTTCTGTAATATACAGAAAAGGATCTATGCCAAACAGATCTTGAAATAAATTAAATAACTGTTATAACTTATTTTTAAACTTAGCTTAAATTTTTATATATAGTATTTTTAAGTCTGCATCATCACTTTTTCAATGCTGTTTAATATACTATATTTAATTTTATTTTCGATACTTATGATCCCTATATTTGGAACTTACATATAAATAAGTTCATATTATCGATTTAATCGATTTTTATTTTTTATTTGTACCGCATTTTTTAATTTTGAAATTCGAAAACATATCTTTATTAGTTATTATTTTACAACAAATTGAAAAATATCAATCGACTTAATTCCTCAAGATATCACAAATAACAACCGATTAAATAAGCTTTTTTGAGCTTTTATCGTATTTCAATCTGTAAGTTATAGCTTTTTAAAAACATTTCACAACAATGAGTAAAACGAAAAAGCTTTCTTGATAAACAAATGGAAATCATTTAAAATTTTTTTATTATAAAAGCTCAGAGCATTTCTACGGAGAAACAGTAGTTCTTCAACTGACTGAGGTGTATATTGTAGAGAAGCACGCGAATTTCTAAACAAAACAAAAACATGACATCAACAAAATCGGTGCCAGATTTTATGAATGAAGATTTCTTCAAAAATGCGCTCGAAAATACTTTAAGCGAAAAAATTGAAATAAAAAATTTAGCAGTGGAACACAACACATCATGTGGCAACTATTGCAGTAACATTTATCGTGCAGCAGTTAAATATGCAACAGATAAAAATGCTGAAGACACAAAAGAAATACATTTACTTATAAAAGACTTGTTCATCCATATGTCGGGAAGCTCTAGAGAGTATTTTATGTACACAACTTTGTTACCGGCTTTAAATGCTATACTACAAAAGTCTCAACCAGATAAGCAACTATCTGCAAGGTAAATGTTAAAGAATTTCTTGACATGAGCAGTTGTTAACAAGATATCACTTTTTACTTTATTTTTGTAGATTGTTTCATGCTAAGAAAGGCGATAATGAAACTCATGTGTTTGAAGACTTGAATGCACGTGGCTATGTTATATGCAATCGATTGGTTGGTTACAATGAAGAGGAAACTAAGGTGGTGTTGTCGAAGTTGGCTCAATTACACGCTACTTCTATGGTCTTCATGAAGGAGGTAAGAAGATTTATTATTGAGTAATATAATAATAATAATAATAAATTAAGTAATATAACATAATATAATAAGTAATAAGTTATATAATAATAGTATAGAATATTAAGTAATATTTCTTTAATTAATTATATATCATAATTAATTGAAAAAATATATTTAATATTAATTAAAGTTTGAGATTTAATAAGAGTTTTAACTATAATATATATTTAACATTGTATATATTCCATAATATTTTAATGATAAAAAAGTTATAACTAACTATGATAAGAATAAGATTTGTTATGCACTTTAAATGATTATAATTTATAATCATGTTTAATTTAAATGAAAAGTTTAAAAAAATTTTTTAACAATGAAGATCACAAAAACAAATGGTGAACACTAATTAAGTAAAATAGCAATTATAAAAGCATAGAAATTAACAGTTAATACTGTCTAATTTATAATAAATAAAATAAACAACTACATATTCTAACTTATATTTAAAATAAATATATAAATATATAATGTTAATAACAACTAATATTATATTAGACTAAATATATTATAATATTGTAATTAAATATAAATTATAATTTAATTTAAGAAAAGTAGGTTATTATGGTATTTCAGTAATAACTAAATAGTAACTAAATAATTATAACCATAACTATAAATAATAAATAAAATATATAATAATAAATTAAATATTAAATAATTAAATAAATAATAACAATTGTTAATTAATAATAATGTGTTAGAATAAATATTATGTTGTGATACTATAACTGAATACGATTTACAATTACATATTATTTTAACTAAAAATATAAAGACATGGTAATTTTAAAATAATTAAATAAATCAGACTACTAATAATATTTACTAAAGTACTAATAATATATACTAAAACTATTGTGTGACCTTAATAAAAAATTAAGTAAAGTAAAATTATATAAACACCTAATTTATAACTAACTTTAAAAAAAAACTAAATGAAACACCCCTCTTCAATGGGATAAGAAGGATTACTGTCGGATTACTTGACAGACTGCGCTACTATCCCATTAAGATGGGCCCGGTCGTGCTAACAGAACATTTCCCTTGTGTGAAAGAGGACAAGTCTAGTCATATTTTTTATGAAGAGGCGGCTTTGAATTTAAGCCAAAAAGAGATTTTTGAAATGAATGTTCTTGTTATATATTAACACCCCTTTAACAAACATTTTTAGGTCCTTCTTACCTTTTATTTGATATTATATTTCTTTGAAAACTAAAATATGTATAAAAATAATGATAATTAACTATAATCAACAAATATTTAATTTTTATAGCAACCAAAAGTCATGGCTGAACTTAAAGAATTCTACTTCAAGAGTGAACCTGGTATAATGGAACTGCTTGCAAAATTAACAGAGGATTATGCAAACTATTCTTCAAAGGTTGTGGAAAAATGGCCTGGTTATGCTAAAATTGCAGAAAAAATGCGTAAAAATGTTGGTGACACCTTCAAGCAAAAAATTTTAAAAATTTTCCCAAAAGAACAAGCTTTAGTTAAGGTACTCGTTCATGCGGATTTGTGGATCAAAAATATTCTTATGCTGAGGGATGCTGAAGGTCCAAAAGATGCTATATTTGTAAGTTCCAACTAAAAATTACACCTATATATATGTATATTATATTCCTTATCTTTAATTTCTTGCGTGTTTTTTACCTCAAATACTTTATTATTTGTAACGTTATATAAAGAAGAGATTGAAGAGCATGGTTTGCCTTACATATCATATGAGATACTTGTATTTTTTATATATTAATTAATTGGATATACTTTTATATGACATTATGTGTTGAAAAAAACCAGTTAAATTAATATATTATTATTTATTTATAATAATATTGTTTTCTGTTACAAATAGTAACAATAAAAGCTACATATAATAATTCACATTCAAATCATAATAATATATTTAATAAATATATTAGATAATAATATATGTGGATATAGATGATTATATTATAGAACTATTAGTTTTTCAATATATTTCAAAGACGTTAAATCTTATTAACTATTTACTTATTTCTTAATTTTTTTTCTATTTTTTTTAGGTGGATTACCAGATGTGCTTTGAAGGAAGCCCTGCATTGGACATTCACAATTTGTTTATAACAAGTGTTAAATTGGATGTATTGAAAACTAAACGTCTCGAATTGATTAGACATTACTATGACGTCTTACGCACTACACTCATTGCTTGCGATTATAATAGAGACGACATACCAACATTAGACGATATTTTATATGAAGTACAACGCACTGAATTCTTTTCGTATTATGAGCTCGTTTTTCCATTTGCCCAAACAAATCTCAGTGATAAGTTAACGGAAGGCTTAGGTGTTGGTGATTTAACAGAGGAAAATAATATGGAACGCACTCTAAAAGATATATACAGTAATCGTAGAGTTTTGGATACATATGCCTATGAGTTGAGGCGTTTGGATGATCTAGGCATACTCGATTAAATTTTGTTTGCAATGTAAACGTGTTACAAATTTGATATAAATTTTGTACTTAATTTAGTTATAATAACTGAATGAAAATTATTTGAATAGAAATATATAATAATTAAAAAAAGCTTTTATTATTAATTAAATTGTTTATCAGCATAAGCGACTTATTCGGTAGTACAAGTGCATCGTAGGAATGGCATGTGGGTAGTTGCTCTTCAACATGTATAAAAAAGTGTTTTAAATTTATTACTAATGAGTAATCTGTTTGTATAAGTGTTGGTATTAAAAGCTTCAACATTTTACAGAAGCAATATTTGTATCGACACTTGAATTTTAAAATGAATATTAGAATTTTTTAGTAACGTGAAACTATCATTAAATAAACATTTTTTAGTTTGATTCCATTTATAACAAATGATTTTTTATTTCCATACATATATATTTTTCTGAATTACATAGTTGTATTAATGCATTGAACATTTTCGAATCATAATTTAGCCAACTACAAATATCTACTATCAATAATAACATAAAGACTAAACCAAAAGAATCGTTACAAAAAATATTGGTCATGTGTAGCAATTCCCGCCGGCAACAATAAATTTTGTTAAAGGCCACTATATCACTATAACCACCATAAATATTTATTAATTTCAGATAACGCTGTCCCTGACACCAGAAACTAGTACTCTACACTTTATTCGAATAAAATAATATTTCGAACTGTTTGTATTTGCATCTGAATAGTTCGAAATGTTCGAATGCGAAAGGTTCTACCAGAAACATTACAGTGTTCTAGCCATATTCCCATTCAAAAAGCGAAACTTTTATGGTGTTTTTTCTTTCATCTAGTCAATGTCAAATATTTATTATATCAGAAACCAAACATTCAAAAAATCATAATTTTTTATTTTAAAAGAATTATAAACAAAAATTAGTAACATGTAAAATCACTTTTAAATGTAATAAAGTGCTGTAAACAAGCTTGTTATTAGTTAACGGTCTTGGACTATATAACTAACACGGTAATATAGAACAAGTAACGTATAAGTTTTAATATAGATTTTACAGTACTTAAGCTTATTTAGCAACTCTCTTCGGACTTTTCAATTTTTTATTTAAAATAGATATGACAAAATGATAAATAGATTAATGATAGGTTGTTCAACACGTCAAATTAGTGTACTAAATCATCTGCTAATTTGTCGCTTTGGGATTGGTTATATTTAAATATTTAATTGCTTTTTAACATTAACAAAATTTTTTTTTTTCACATTTGACATACATGTTTCGAGATCTTTGGGTTCGTGGTTGGTTTCAGTTATACTAAGAAGTTCGATTTAAGAGCGATACAGTTCAGAACAGGTTCAAGATTGTGAACTTGTTACATTACCGGTTGCGAACAATATACATTATACATGTAATTTTATCCCTGCACTAATTTCTATTAATTGTGGGATCAGTTTTAATAAATTAATTTATTTTACTGTGAATTATTTTTTACATAATATTTTGTTTACTTTAAATTTAACGTCAGTCACGTCAGAAGTGGCTATTTCTCTTAATAGAAACTATGGTATTTGGTAGGGAGGTTCCGAAGAGTAATGAACTACAACAACAAAAATTCGTTTTTTTATATTATTTTAATGAATTGAATTTTTGGCTGACCGTTCAGCTGTTTCGAGTATTGCCACATATCCGTCATCAGTGGTCTTGGAGTAATTAAATACCAGAAATAATTTCAAGATCACGGATGATGGGTATTTGGCAATATTGTAAACAGTGTTGTGTGGTCAGCCAAAAATTCAATGAATTAAAATAATATAAAAATAAAAAATTTTTGTTGTCAAAATATATTGCATAATTACTTCTTTTAATTTATTTATTTACATTATATTCATTATTTATACGTTAATTTAATAAAATTAGAACACAATTTAAATATACATATTTCATTAACCACACTATGAAATAACTATTAATAAAATATTATAACATAATATATTATAAAGCAACTGGTAGATTTTCAGTTATATGATCTCCTCAATTTTCGAAAATCCTTAGTTACATTCATCAAAACTGCATGGGAGATGTAGGGAGATGTAGGACACCTACATAATTAATCTACCCATGTAGGGCTGAAATTGTCGTATTGTTTTTGAATTTGAGATAGTAGAGATATTTATTGGAGATAACAGATAGTAACTGCTCTTCTATACGATATAGGAATATAGTAATATTCCTATAGTAGTAGTAGTAGTAGTATACTACTATTCCTATATTCAAGGTAATTCCTAGATTCAAGGTAATTCGTGCTATGTACGATATGCTCATATCTCATATGCTTTCTCATATGCTTTCACAGAACAATGCTTTGCAGTCAGTTGACTGGACTAAGTTGAAAAAACTTGACTAACCATTTAAATCACTCTTTTTGATTATAAACGTAAATAGAAGCTTATTTTAGACAGTAAAGTTCTGTTCAGAGAGCAGAGCTTCAACAAAATGATATAGAGTTTGGTGTTTATTTTTAATATAGTTAGTCTGAATTACTAGTGCCTTTCAATAGGAATAAAATTTATTCAAAAAGTGCATATTTATTTAACTCAACGTTCTCTGTTAGATAAAGCTTAAATGTCAATATATGGTATGTGTACATGAGGAAATAAGCTCTCTGTGCTCAATTTCATATACATTTTTGAACTTCAGGAATGATTCATTATTAAAAATTGAACTTGTGAAATGAAATTGTGTTATTGAACAGATAAACAATATAATTCCCATATAATTTACCGGCAATCAAAAGCTTATGAAATTTGTTTAGTTTAGTTAATTTTTATCATTAGAAGATGTCAGTTGATTAGAATTTATTTATAACGAGTCAAAATTATTTAGTTTATAGTTTATTTACAGTTCATATTTATAATATTAGAAAAATGCCTAATATTTTTAAAGCAGAAAAAGAAATATTTAAATATTTAAACAATTCTTTAATGAAAAGAGCCTTAGAAAATTCATTAAAAACTGCAGTTGAAGTGAAAGAGTTTTCATTTGAAAAAGCAACCAAGGATGGAGAAAATTATTGTAGTGATATATATCGAATATATGTGAAATATATTAAAGAGAATGATATTTCAAAGAAATTGCATGAGAAGAGTTTTATTATAAAAGATGTTGGGGAAATTGAACAACCAGATACTAGTGAAATGTTTATGTACGAGAAAGTGCTACCAAAGTTAGAAGAAATCCTCGAGTCGACTGGTGAGAATGTCAAACTTAAGCCAAGGTAGGTAAATTTCACATTAGATTCTCATTAGAATCATTGTATGAAATTATACATATTTTTGAAAGTAATATAAATTTAAATAAAACAATTAATTAACAAAAATAAGAAATTATTCACAAAAAATTTTTAAATTCTTCTAATATGTGTTTATTTTAATTATTTAATTTTATTTTAGTTGCTATTTAACTATATCTGATAAAATAGAACTTTATGTGCTAGAAGATTTAGTCGCCTCGGGTTATCATATAGCAGATCGCTGGGTTGGATTGAATGACGTGCAGGCTAAAGTAATATTACAGAAGGTAGCCAAATTTCATGCAGCTTCAATGATATATGTTGAAAGGGTAAGAATTGAGTCTAACAAGATTTAGATTTTTCGGGAATACCTATTTAATAATGGATTATATTAAAGTAATTTATTTTAATCAACTTTTTCAATCTCGGTCTATATTTATATAGACCTACTTCGCGAGGTCGTAAGGTTTAAAATAATAAACAGTTACATTGATTACACTTACAAGAAATACACATACTAGGCCAAAGAGTGTATGCTAGATAGCGCGATATATTAAAAATCCAGTACATATATTGTCAAATGGACGTACCACATTCATTGGAATTGTGCACTTACTTTTATTTACACTAAATAATGCACATATTTTTTTAATTACTTAGTGTATTTTTTCCATTTATAATTTTTTTTTAACTTCAATAGTTTCCAGAAGAAATTGCTAAGCTTGAACCAGCAGGTTTTTCAAGTGACAACTTTGGTGAAGTGGCGCGAGTTCTCTATATAGACAGTGTTGAATATGTTGCTCATATGATACAGAATGATTGGAACGGCTACGAAGAAATCGCACGGAAAATGTTGAAAAATAAAGAAAAATTTCACGAAAAAGTGAAAAAATTAGTTAATCAAAAAAACAGCAAATTAAATGTAATAAATCATGCGGACTTGTGGTTAAATAACTTTCTCTATAGTTACTCAGACGAAAATTTCATGGAACCTCAAGATGCAGTACTTGTAAGTATAATTGGTTTTGATTTAAAATTTTTTGTTAAGTACTAGGTATCCTTATTATGGATTCTCAGCGTCGGTAATTCGGCAATTTATTAAAATTTTACATATACGAATGCTCAGTCTCTGAAAAATCACAATATTATAATATCAATAATGTTGTATACATATTATTTTTTAATATTTCAAAAAAATTACAATATATTCTCTTTTTGAAATCAAAATTTATTGACTAGAGTGTTCACAATTTAATTAAGAGTAAAAATATATATATTATAGTTTAAATGTATAACGAGAAATGAGTAATCTGAATTCCCCTACTATTTTAGCATTACACATAACATATAGTATTTGTATTATAAATGAGACTTGCAATTTAAGTAATATTGAAAATATATGGTATGAACTAATACCTAAGAAAATATATCATATGAATATATCATAAAATAAACTTAATGTTTTGTTTTCTCTTTTACAGATAGACTTCCAGAACTGCTATTTAGGTAGCTTAGGTTTGGATATAAATTTTCTGATTTACACAAGTTTCGACCTTAATACAATAAAGAGTGATCAGCATAAACTTTTGCATTGTTACTATGATGAATTAGAGAGAACTTTAAAACTATGTGGAGCTACAATGATACCAACGTGGGAGTCGGTAATAGATGAAATAAATGCAACTTTGTTTGTAGCTTACTATGCAGTTGTTTGTGAAATGCCTATGTGTTGTATGAGTTTGGAAGCCTCTGAAGGTTTTCAAAATGAGACTTATACAAATAAAGAAGTAATGGCTGAAAAACGTAAACTAATGTATAGTAATAAGAGAGTTTTAGATACACTAAGATATATGTTAGATTATTTAAATAAAATGGGGATACTTGATTAGCCAACGAATGATCAAAGGTTTATTAATAAAACATGAGTTTTAAAAAAATTGTTAACATTGTTTAGTTATTTTGTTTAGTAAAATTTATGTATACCTACATATATATATACACTTTAAATAAAGTGTTAAGTGCTTGCATATGGACTAAGTTTTTAAGTTTGCACGTGAACTATAATTTAGTCAAAATAAGGTGTAGCCAAATCTTTGGATATTATTTCTGGTACAGTAGGACTCTTTTGGCCGCAGTACCGGCAGTTGTGCGATTTAACGACAATAGTTTTAATAATAAATAATAATCAAGAGTATTTGGATAGTAGACTTAATAATTTTTTATGAAATTTTTTACCATATATATATTTTTTCACAATGATTGAAAAACATGTATATAAATTATATATATATATAATTATATATAGTAAGTTTGTACATCTACTATTTAAGTTTTAATATACAATATTTCGTTCCTATTAAAAAAATGTAGCGCACTGGCAGTTCTAATTCGTTGACACTTTACGGTTCACTTTGTTATAAAATCTAATATGCGTTTTTAAATGAGCTTTTAATAGTGTGAAGGGCTTTCGCATTTCACCATATTTGAAATAGTTGAGTAAAAATAATGCGTTACTCTATAAAGCAGTTGGAATAAAGTTTTCAAAATTACCGGATGACTTGTTCAGAAAGGCGGACGATATATTACTGAGACTAATTTGTTAAGTGTGAAAAAACGAATATGTGTGAACTTGTTGATATAGAAAAAGTAAAGGCCGACTATCTTGAACAAAATGTTAAAGAAGCTTTAGAAAAAGTTCATAAAGTCTCTATAAATGTTATAGAATGTAAAATAAAGCTTGCAACTGTAAACGGTGAAAACTTTTGCAGTGACATCTATCGAGTAAATGTTAAATATGCAATACTGACTGAAACAACCGCTGGGGGAAAAGAAATACATACACAATCATTAATGATAAAAGATATTATACCGGAGGTGGCTGAAATTGGTTCCAGTGAACTGCTTATGTATGATACAGTTCTACCTTTAATGGAAGAAATATTGGAAGCAAGTGGTGATAAGGTAAAACTGAGACCAAAGTAAGTTAAAAATCACACAGAAACTTTTTATACTAACTACACTAATATGTATATTATTTACTTACAACGTCATATCGATTCATTAATGTCATATCTATATAGAAATCCATTAAATATAATTATAATATATATATAAAGAATTGATGTTATATTTACATATGTCAGTCATTAATATATATTCAATACAGACAATAACAAACAATCTTTCACATTTGATATAAAATATATAACGAACTACTATTCAAAATATTTAGTTGCTTACTAAGTAAGCGGGATAGTAAAGAAATCTATATTCTGGAAGATATGAATGAATTGGATTATTATGTTGCTGACCGATGGTTGGGCTTAGATGAGCAACGTGCAATGTGTTTGATGGGTAAAATTGCGAAATATCATGCAGCTTCAATGGTGTTAATACAAAAAGTAAGTATAAATTTATATTATACTATATTAATTTAAACTCAAACACTACTAAACTAAGTAGTTAGCTTTAGTATAAAAGCTAACTACTTAATGTTAAGTATTAAGTAATACTTAACTACTTAATGATTTTAGCCACAGGGTTTGTTAGGCTGTTCTTGCTGGCCGTAAGTCACGCATAGATCTATTGCTCTTAAGCGTTACTAGATTGATACAGGATGGAATTAGATTTGTTTTCGGTATTCTGTACCAATTTAACTGTAGGAAACTTCAGCCCTGAGATATACTTAAATTTTCTAAATTGTTTGAATTTTGAGTTTTAAGTATACTCATGAGATCGCAGCATATGAACATGAGAGATATTTTAAGGTTTTATTTTTTGATTTACTGCGTAAGAACACATATTGTATGATTCTTTCTATTTTATTTACTCCGTTACAAATATTTTGCAAATATCTTAACACGCCATTTATTGAAAGCGGTATCAAAGGTGTAAAACTAAATTTCTTAAATATAATTGATCATTACAGATTGGATTAAATTGAATGAGATTGGAGATTGAATGGATTATAATTTGAATCAAAAAAAAATATGTTTTATTCTTGACCAACTGCTATAGATTTAAATGTCTCTACAATATTTTATTAATATTTTACCTAAATTTTACTTGTTAAGTCTGATACTTGATCTATTGATCTATTGGAATGGAGCAGTTTTTTTTTCAACTCCAAACGTAATGGGGACTGGAAATATGTTTAACGTGTTTTATGAGAATCCATACCATATCCGTATGATATGGATGAAGTCAAAATTACTGTATTTTATGGACTGGTGCAGCTAAAGATGTAGTTGGTTAAGAAACTCTGGTACAGAGCATCAGGTCGACCACATGTCTTTGTTGCAATCTGCTGCCACACCTAAAAGCAACGATTACAAAGATAATATTCTAAGATCTTGTGCATTTAAAAATAATGTATTGAAAATAGTTCTTTATTAATGTATTTAATTTATATATACATAATCTTTTTCTTTAAAAGCTTAAGCTATAATAAAAATAATGTAATCGAAGTTCAACATTGACTTATAGATGTCACTGCGATAAAATTTTTTTTATAATCAGTCTTAGTATCTGGTACATATTGTTTGTTTACAATCTAGCACTTAACACTTATTTTTTATTTTTTAAAGTTATACTAAATAATTTTAACATTTAATTAACATCTTCCAGTTCCCCACTGAGGTAAAAAAACTACCAGCTTCACACTTTGCTGCAGGAGCAGCAGATCAGATCGCCCATTCCATTGCAATTGGTGGTTTGGAGTATGTTGCAGATTTTCTCAAAACCTGGTCTGGTTTTGTGGAAATTTCGAGAAAAATTTTAGCAAATAAGACACAATTCAATGAAAAAATAAAATCAATTGTTAATCCGAAAAATAGCAAAGTTAATGTTATTATGCATGGCGATTTGTGGGTTAATAATTTTCTTTTCCGATATGATAATGACAAAAAGCCCAATGACGTTGTGTTGGTAAGTGCATATTATGAATAATATTATATCAAAAATGAATGAATTTTAAATTAGAACTAACTTAAAAATATATTAGAGTGAACTTGATATTGTAGTATATAAGTAAGATCATTTTTTGTAACAGTTTTAAAACTTCCATTTGTAATATATATCTACATATATAACTAATCTATCGTTGTTCGCAGGTTGATTTTCAAAACTGTTATATCGGTAGCCTCGGTATCGATCTGAATTATTTTTTATATACGAGTCTACAACTGAATGTATTGAAAACCAAACATTTGGATTTATTAAAACACTATTATAATGTTTTAGAAGACACATTGAGAATGTGTGAGTATCAAGTAATACCGAGTTGGGAATCAGTTTTGGAAGAAATACGTAGCACAGCATTTATGGGGCTTTATGCTGCTGTTTGTGAGCTACCAATCTGTTGTATGGATAAAAAAACATCTGATGGATTTACAACAGCAACATTTAGTAATCCAGAGGAAATGGCTAAAAAACGAAAACTGATGTACAACAATGAAAGAGTAGTAGAGACATTAAAGTACACTTTACATTATTTCAACAATTCTGGTGTACTTGATTAGTAACTATAGTTTAAATTTAATTGCTATTGAGAGATACTGTTTAAGTAAAATATTTAATAAATTATTTTTATGAACACTTAGTTATGGTTTTATATTTCCTTCAATAAAATATATAGTAAAAAGACTAAAAATGGTGTTGTACTTACTTTACGCTTAATATCGGTGGAAATTCAATTTCCGTATCCTTTGGATCTCGCTTTCTAAATCGCGGAAATTTAAGCATATCCTTTTTGTAATGTGCATATTCGTTTTGCATTCTTTCATCGATATTTTGAAGTGGAATCAGTTCAATGAGAGTGTTACTTTTTGCTACGTGAAGATCAGTTAACTCCGGTAGTTCATCGTAGAACTCAAACCCTAGTAATTAATAGAAATTATATTTTAAATCAGATAAATTATGTTTAAGATTATTGCGTGAAAAAATTATTGTGAGAGAATTAAAGAGTATTGCTGTTTGCTTTTTAAAGATTAGATAACTCAGGTAGTTCATAAAATAACACAAACCCCTTGTATTTAATAAAATTTTTGTAAGAGTCTAATTAAGTATTAAGGAAATTATATTTTAAATCAAATAAACTATTTTAAAATTTAATAAGATAATAGTTGTAAGAGGATCAGGGAGTGTTGATCTTTGGTACATGTAGATCAGATCCGATAAATAGTAATTAAAGGAAATTTAGTTTAAAATTCAATAAACAATTTTCTAATTAATGGACTCCATTATTAAAGTAGTTATTGAAAAGATCTGCAAAATATATTCCCAAGGATATAGATGTGAAAAGCGCTAGAAGTTAGAGTGGGTTAAATTTGGTAAATAGGCTCATTTTGACTAATGAGCAGGTGTATTTTCTTAAAAGAATATAAATTTTTTTCTCTTCTGAACTGCAGCTACATACGGCTGTTTGTATTCAGTTGGCAAATTTTATGATTTTCTGTATTTAAAAATTTACTTAAATATAAACTGTTGGAATTTGCAGAGAAGCATAGGAGATCGCAAAATGTTTCATTCTCTGGCCAATAAGTGAAAGAAATACCGGAATGGGTATTAAATCATAAAGTAAATAATACTCCATAAAAGAAATTTAATACTATAATATATTCTAATTTAGCAACATTTTTATTGCTTTTTAAAATATATTAAAATATGTACTTTTTAAAAAATATTTAATAACAATAAAATGTAAATAAAAGGTTTTTCGTAGCAAATAAGTGCTATTTTGTTTTGAAACATTAAAAATAGTGCTATAATGATGCATAATATTTATTGATAATAATAGAAAAATGTATATAAGGCATATAAATTCTTACCTCTTGGTTGAAGTCTGGGTTTTCCTTTCAGCGAAACACTTTCAATAAAAAATAATTCTTTTGATTTAGGTTTTTTATAATTTTTGAATTGATTCATTTTTTTTATAAACGAATAAAAAATCTTGTGTAAATCCCACTTGAAGTCCAATATGAAGTCAAAAGCATCACTGAAATGAAATACAATACATATTTAAGTTTAACTATTTTGCACTTCATTTAAATAATGAAATATTTGAAGTTGTGCGTTATCGTCCTGTTACTTTGCAAGGATGCATATTAACGCTCTCAGTGCATTCAAGAAGTTGCAATTTTCCACTTGATAAAACATTTTCATTTGCATAATAATGATACTAACTTTACATTCGCACTAATCATAAACGCAAATTATTATCATAACGAAACCAAGTGTAAGTTTATGCAAGGAATCATACAGCTGAATTGGCACTAATCCTTCGCTTTTGTGGTATCTGAGCTGTTGCACTTGTGTCGATTCATGCGTCGGATATGAGGTACTGTCAACTGAAAAATTGTGATGTTTCTATTCTATTGTGGCATTTCGTATACTAAGTATTGGGTGATATTATAAGCTATTTGGGCATGAGAGAAATATTTACCATTTATTAATATTGAATGAGCGTTGTTACTCATCACATTGTCTAGTACAACTATAATAAATAACTAAAAATAGATTTATGCTCTTCACTTATCAAAATATTAATTAATTATTATTACACTTTTTTTCTTAATTCAGTTATGCAGCAATAAGAGATCTAATATTTGGTACATAATTCAATAATGTTGACTGAGAACAAATAGTATCAAAACAATTTATATTATACTTCTTAATGTCTATATTAATACCCACATTTCAACTTCTTCCAGATCATTATATCTTTCCAGATATGCAAGCATGTGACAATCATTTGGTGTTACTGCAACTCGAAATTTATTTTCGAAAGATACTTTCAGTACTGGTACAAATACAGGTGCCTCTTCATCCTCTAAAAATTTTTTTTCCTCTCCACTTTCCGTGCTTTTCGACTTAAAATCTTCATTGTCGTCATTTTCATCCTTTTCCTTATATATACTATCTAGAAATTTGCGATCAACAATGTCATGCGTTATATGTATGCCATCAATAGCAAAAACATCCAAGTGTATATTATAGATAGAATTGTTAACTATTTCAAAACGAACTGCAGCATAGTGCCTGTGTTGTATCAGTATATCATTGCAATTATAACCGACATATATATTTGGTTCTTCGAACTCTTCACCGATTCCTTCTTCATATAACATTCTATGCCCTATTTTATATCCCTTGCGCTTCCCTTTCCCCTTCTCACAGGGGTATGTATAACCACTGAAGCCCTAGAAAAAGTATTTGAATTATGTCATTTGGTTTCATTCAATTCAAGAACTCACCCTATCTGCTTTCGACTTAAACTCCTCATACTGTTCGTTTGCTTCTTGTTCCTCATTTATATGTGATGAACTTGTACTTATATACGCATCTGAATATTATTTAATTATATCGGTATTATAATACAAATACATCATTTCACTTACCAAATTCATCGCAAATTTCAAATTCTTCCAAGTACTCCTCCGTTCTAGAAACAAAACGTGTGCCATCCGCATGAAAGCATTTGAATTTATCCCTCGTCCATAAAAACTTAACACCATCGCGCCGCATGCAATAACTTTCATCTTCAACGTAATCGTGCCATTCAACGTATTTTAATTGTCCACCATCTGACATCTTAACAGTAACAGACAGACAGACAAGAAGTATTATAAGTTAAGTAACTATAAAAATAGATAACTTACTACATCCGAGGATGATATTTTAGCTACACGTCCACTAGCGGCAGTTATTTTAAGGTGCACATATCTCAGACTATAAACGTTTTTTAAATGATTTATAAAAGTCAGTTCATTTATGAAGAAGTCAGTTATGCTCAAAGAAGGAATTGCGAATAAGGATGCAAGTCTCTTGGACTGATTCTCTAATAAACTGTCTAAACTTCCTCTACTTATGTGTGATGTTGATTTTGCAGTTTCGACATTTGATTTAAGTGTTTGCTTTGATTTTTGCATATCAGCATCAGGTACCACTTGCTTAGATATGTTGTCTGCTATCTTATATGCTAGATTTGTGTTATCAGATTTTCCTCCAGACATTGCTTGTACATAACTGCTTGCTGGGTCCCATATTTGTTCATCATCTTCCTCTAGCCCCTCCTCTTCTTCTTCTTCTTCATATTGATAGAGATGATAAACTTCGCCGTTATAACGCATAACTAGTACTACATTATCCTCCTTATAGTAGACAATTACCGCTGCATAAGGCGTGAAAACTCGTTTACATTCATTTCTGAAAGTGTGTTCCATATGCCAATATTGCTCAACAAGATCTTCTTGATAAAAAATTGACAAACCATTCGGATAAGTTATAATCACTTTTGCCACTTCCTCTGCATGCGGTTCGATACGCACAGCTACTTCATTTTTCGCTGTTATGCGTACAGTGGGTGCTACCATGGGATCTTGTGGTGAGACACTATTTAAATTCATGCAGTTGTCATGCACACATAATTCCAATTTTCTATTAGTATATTTACGTAAAAATTTTTCTTCGTATAAACGTAAAAAACCCTCTTCAAAGAAGTATTTCGAGTTTTTTGTATTCAATTCTTGAAGCACGTCGTCCAAAGTATAACCATGTAAAAGTGGATGCTGAGGTGGTAAGCCTATATAATCACAATCGACGAGCTTTTTAATTAGTGTAGGGTCAAGTATAATTGAAACAGATTTTGATTCTCGACCCTTGGATGGATATTTGCCTGTGAATGGTAGCGTTGGCCTTGAACACGTATTTATAAAAGTTATGGAAGGATATAAAGCTTTTAAAGAATTTGGTCGTATATACAAGTTTTCTGCAATATTATAATTTTTTTCTTTGGCTTTTAGGCGTTCTTCATCAGTTGTTTTATCTTCCAATTCCTTATTCCTTTGTTCCGGTGTTACCAACCATTTTTGGAATTCTTCTAAATGAAAAAGTGTGAAATCCCTATAACATAAACAAGAGGGTAGCACTACATCAGTTTCTTCTTCAAAAAGTTCATTATATGTAGTTTTAAAATGATATAATCTATATCTTCGATTAATTTTGTACGTTTTGAAGTCATTGTATCGCGAAATTAATTCTGACGTTCTTTGTAAGACACTGTCTTGTGTAGAATAAAACTTTATAAAAATTGGCAATTGTAACGGTTTCGCTTTTTTTGGCTTTTCAAGTATAGGGTCGCGAATAAAGTCTCGTAGTAAGTAGTATTCTAGGCATGTGCTATATACGCTTCGAAATATCTTCTGATTTGCAGTTGAAACTGCCTTACACAACAACTGATTCGCATCTTCAACCATAATCCGATTGAATTTCTTTATTAACGTTATGCTGTTAAATGCCCTTTGCTGTATGTGTGAACATTCCATTGATTTGTCGTAACTAGCAATTGACAACGGTATACCATATGTATAAAGAAGTATTTCCGATTCTGTTAATACCAAATCATCCTCTTCTTCAAAACTGTTTAATATATTATGCAAATACATTGAAGCTGTAAATATATTCGAAGCTGAAGCGGGTAAAGATGATTTTATAAAATGTCCACTAGTACCCAATGATTGCAGAAATTGATAATTTTCTTGCGGATTCTTTTTTTTGTCCATTATAACATTAACATGATGATAAGGTACGACATAGTAGTCGTGATAGTATTTGCGTAACATCTCTAGATCAAAAAAATACCATGTAAGTTGATTAAAAATATCAAATCGGAGGTTTTGTGCTAAACAATATGACAGCTCTGGCAGTTCTTGTTTAAACAATCCAGTTGGTTTGAAAATATCTGGGTCACGTAAGGAATTAAATAATTGCTTAATTTCTTCATAGGTTTCTTCTCTAAATGTTTCTTTTATCTTATTTGGTACCATTATATCATAAGGCATTTGACCCGGCACAAAATGAACAATACCGACTAACGGTTCTCCATGGCTGAAAGAAAGAAAACACATACATATATACCGATATGTTAAAAAAATTTTTTTTTGTCAGTAAATAATGTATTTATATTGTACAGTACAAAAAAGGAGAGATTAGAATCTCAGCACGATTTATTAACAAAAAACTTTTCATCGACTGAGAACTCCTGACGTTCTGTTTTGTTTCGATACAATTACAACTTCAGTTCAATATACAACTAGCATGCCATGATATGTCATTAAGCCATTTGTCATCAAAGTAATTAGTCTATATTGGTTCACGGGACGATGTTCAAAACTATTTGTTGGAAATACGAAGTCAGTATATGATTACGATATTTGGGATTTTTTGAATTTTATAATCAAAACTTTGTTTCTTTTCTAATTGGTATATACTACGACACAGCTACATAGTGAACTATGATTCAGCACAGTAAAAAAAGAAATTGGAAATAGTACAGTACTGTGTAAGTTATTATTATGTTATCACGACCACTATTCCCGTTTATTTGGAGTTGCAAATAATTTTCTTACTTAACTGTTCCCAATAGACATTATCGATGTGAGTGAGCTTTGTTTTGAGAACAGAATTGTTTGGCAGTTGCATTGCGTCAGTGAAGGAGTCGCCGCGAAGTGATGTGTTAAGTGTCAAAATTGATATTAGTAATAAATTATTAGAATAAAATTTTTTCATATATTTAAAGAATCATAACATAATTAATAATAATTTTATTATTTAATTGATAAATTAATGATTATTATTGAATATATTGAGTTAATTGTTTCCATATATTTTACTAACAAAAACAGTTTCATGGAATTTGTTTTTGATATAAAAACGAACATGTCGACGCCATCTTAAAAACACAGTGCGCATCAATGACGCAATTGAATGCCATTCATTCAATGTGAATGAAGAATATATTGAAAATACATAAATATTTGTTTTATATATATTATTAAAATATGTTTTTGTTTTTTAAAAATTTACATATATTACATACAAAACTGATGAAAGTGATGAAAGTAATAAATTAAAATATATAAAATAATTAAAACAGCGCAGCGGACGTTTAGCTTAAACGTATGGTAAGTTTTTTTTGTGAATTAAATGTGCATCATTATATTATTTATAATTATATAATAATTATAATTATTATTTATAATTATTCTTTTATATAACTTAAATAAAATATATAAACCAATAATAAGTAATTTTAAATATCTAGTGTGTTTAATTATGTTATACATTTATTTTGAACACTTCAATAAACCGCAGTAATTCAGCGCAGTATAGAAGAATAGAGGGAAATAACGGGTGATCTGCTGACAACTAAGAAATTGCAGTGTATGCAGATCTGAGGCCAATTATTGCTTAGTCTGATGAAGTGATAAACAATAATCTAGTCAAGGCGCAAAGAGGGGTTTTGAAGAAACCTCACAGTTAATAGAGAGTAAAAGTGCTCAGGTGCACTGACTCAACTAGCCCCAACATAATTAATTAAAATAAAATAATATAAAATTAAGTAAGATATGATTAAATAATATTAATATTAATATAATATTAATATTATTTGATTATTAATATTAAATTTGATTTTAAAGTCAATATGACAAAAGTGCCGGTGGTATTTAATAGAGAAATTTCGAACAGTATTTAGCTACTGTAATTTAATAATTAAAAATAGAAATAAAAGTGTAATTAATTAATTCAATTATTCTACAGCTGGTTTATGATTCTGTTCTAACACAGCAAGTGAATTTGTTAATAAAACTTTCACAGCAAATTAACAAAACTCCAGAAAAATATGCGAACATAAAAGTTAAGTACGGCTTCGGGTTAGTTGGTTAAGATGCGCTGACTCCGAGCTGCAAATTTGGCAGGACAAGAGTTCGATTTCTGGTATTTGCAGTCTCAAAAAATTAATTACGAATCATTAAATACAAGAATTATTTCCAAGACCACTGATGATGGATATTAGGCAGTTCTTGAAACAGCTTTATGATCAGTCAAAATTTCAATTAATTGTACATATTTTATTTTTGTTGTTGTAGCTCTTCACTGTTCGAAATTTCTCTATTAAAATAATTAACATAATATAAAATAAAATAAACTAAAAGAAAATATAGCATAAAATAAACTAAAATAAAATAATATAGAATAAAAAATAAATAAAAAAATAAAATAAAATAAAATATAAGCATGTAAATGAAATAAAAAAAAATTGAAAGCTGTTAAAATATATTTGACATTAATAGAACATTAATAGAATAAGATGTGACGCAGCATATTGATGTGACACCCTGTCCTCATTTACAACACTTTAATTGATTGTTTATAGACAGCATGGTTAAATTCAAGTCATGCGGTCCAAGAATTCTTTGGTGGTCGCTATAAATCTTTTAACCTTTACTCGTCCTTGTCAGTTTAACCGAATCTCTTTGAAAACTTTTAGTGAACTTTTGTTGTATTTTTAGACAGTTTCAACAATTCTATCTTTATACCATTGCTCAAAATTTTGTATGCTAATTGAATTTAGCTTTAATCTTTGTATTAGTTAAAAATTTTCATGTTAATTTAATTATATATCAAGTTTTGAAAATTTTGTGCTGTTTTATTGAGAACTTAGGCTCATTCATTATCGATCTCAGGAACGCCATCTGTTTACCATCCTTGTCAAGATTTTCGACTATCTCAACTTTCGATGCTGTTTAACCATTGTTGTTCAAATTTCATCATTACAAAATCAAATTTCTGACAATTATTTTTAAATCATTTGAATCTCTAGATTTTGTAAGATGAAAGTAATAACTCATTTCCCTATGCCATGGTATATCTGTTTTTATTATTCACCTAGAACTATTTTTTTTCTACTTCAATATTTCTCATATAACTGGTGTACCTATAACTTATACAAATAATGAATTTATGAAAATTTTAATTAAAAACTTTTAATATAAACTTTCACATTGACTTATGTAAGAAATCATGTCTTTTTCATAAATCTGGTTTAACGACATGTCTTCACTTGGTAGTGTATTATTTTAAGAAAGCACATTAAATAATTAATTAAATTCATACAATTGTTATTGTAAATTAAGTGCATTAGATAATTTAACATATTTAGCAGCATAATTTTAATAAGTAGTTTATTATAATTAATGCCCAATTGTAACAAGTCGAATAAGACATCATAATAGATTCATGTTCATATTGCGAATTTATTAAAATCAATAATTTAATCAGGTGTTGAAAAAATGGCTTTGCAAGGCTTTCAGAAAACTGTAGACTACAATAGATTAGATTTAAAGTATAGATTCAATAAAAAAATGTTATTTTTGGTTTACTTAAGTCAAGTTAGTATTGGGTTATTACCTACCATGCCAAATTTTTAAGTTATCGCATGATATACATATATTTTTTCAGATATTTTTTTGCAGCGATTTATTGCCCTTAAGTTTCTAAACCACTAATTTGATTTGTGGCTGTACTTAGGTTTTATAAATATTGTACTAAATGTCATATGATATTTTGAATATTATCTTTAAGGAATGCCAAATAGTTTTCAAAAATGATATACTACTCAATGCATTATAAATAAGCTGTAAATTTTTACTCACCTAAGAAGATCGTGATACATTTTCTGATCTAAGTTTCCAACAATTACTATAATTATTTTAATGTTTTGTGGATGATCTTCGATATACTAAAAGAGGTAAAATAAAAAAGTAAACATTAATAATTCAGTAAATAAATAAAAAACATAATAAAAAAATTTATACAATAACAGAGTTACAAGAATTAAAAAATAAAATAAATTTGAACTCCCCGAAATACTAATCAATCACTATCTATCTATTAAATTACCTTTCGTTTAGACAACTGCACGGGTCGTCCAACAGAGTGATGTTCTTTACGTATAACATTTGTGCACATAGTCAAATCAAAACTTAGCTCTGTCATTAAAGTTGTTCCAGTACTAATTCTCTGACTTCTTCGTGTTTTAACTTTTGTTTTTGAATCTTTTATTGACTCCTTTTTAGTCAATATCGGATCTTCAAACATAACTGTGGTTTCAGCATTGCCAAGCCAGTACACCAACATATCGAAACGTTTTTCTTTTTCTATTTCTTTGGTTATTCGATCATATTCCGATCTGCATTCGGCAATAGATTTTAATAACATTTGAAGAGGTGTAACAGGTTTTTCTGAAAGAAAAAAGAAATGTGAATATTTTGTTGGAGAATACTGATTAAACTGGTCACATAGGTTAGTTTAGAGAAAAAACAATATTACCTGAGTGTTACATTGTTTTCAGGGAGGAATATGGTATAGACATGAAAGAAGCTTTTAATTTCATGTTAAAATGAAGGGAAATGAAGTGGTCTTGTATTAACTTCGAGTGTAATTCTTCTAAATTTAATTGAACATATTATTGATGCAAATGTAAGATACTATGATATATTTTGATAACAGTTAAGTTGCTTCCTGATCATGAAATAAACGACTTTAAAATAATGTTTAATAAACTGTTTTATCCCGTTTTCCAACACATATTTCGAAGTGTTAACTGTAATAATAATTTCTTACGTAAAAGAAATTCATTAATTGTTAAATAAGTGTTGTTAAATTTTCAATTTTCAATGAGAAATATCAAATTTGTGTGTAACATCTCACCTAAGTAATTAATACACAATGTCTGTGGCAATTCTTTAAAATGTTAAACTGCATTTTATTCTTACCGGTACAATTCCAGACAATTCGATCCTTCTAGAAAGGTATAAGGCTTTCCTTTAAGCAATCAGTTTAAGATCTTTTGTGAAAACCATCGCAAAAGATGGTTTGGTTGTCTTTATCTCGCATTGTTGAAGTCTGATCGGGTTACGCTAAATGGTGTTCGAAAGGTGAGATTTCATACTAGAAAAACTTCTGACAGTTTCGTGATTGGTTGACTTAGTTTTATATGAGCGCGCGTCAAAGATGGACGCCAGCGAAAAGGAAATACGCTATATTTTACAGTTTTTCTTTGATAAAAGCGAAAATACAAGCCAGGAGGCTGAAACTGTGAATAGTATTTATGGTTCTGATACTGTAATAGTCAACCATGCGAAATTTTGGTTTCGTCGATTCCGTTTCGGTAATTTCGACGTCAAAGATGCACCACGCACTGGATGGCCAATTGTCGATAATGTCGATGAAATTATGGAAATTGTTTAGTCTTATTATCGTGTAAGCACTGTCTCTATTGCGTAAGAGCTAAATAATACACAAAGAACCGTTTGAAAGCATTTGAATAAGCATTGGTTGGAACATTCTTATACATCCACCTTATAGTACAAACTTCGCACTAAGTGATTACCATTTGTTCCATGGTTCTGTCATTGGCAAACGATTTTACAGGTAAAAGTTCGCTTCAAGAGACGCTTGATAAAATTAGTTGTCTTGATTTTTTGCCCATAGGTACGAGGTTTATAAAAGAGGCATAATGAAAAAACCTTCAAAATGGCAACAAATTATCGGACAAAACGGCGCATATTTGAACTAAGTCGGATCATTATAACTATGGTAAATAAGTCTTTAATTTCATGCAAAAAAAAATTTTTTTCTACTATGTATATATATTTATAAATATATAAATATATCAACATATAAATATATGTATATTTATTACATCATAGTAAATAAAATTAATTGTGAGACAATATTCTTGGATAAGATGTTATTGATTAAAATATTCATAATTTTTTAGCAAAATAATTCTAAATATATTTTTTAAATTTTTACCTTTTGCACTCTTTTTGCCAACATTTTTTGCTGGAGCTTCTGCAATCGCAGCTTGTTTTTCCTTCATTTGATCAAAATTTATAACAAATATCTTTCTCCTTAAACCACCTTTTACTTGTTCCAAAAATACATTATGTACTGTATCCAGATAACTTCCGTGGAAGTTTGCTCCATATACCAAATAGTTTTTACCAGGAGCATTAGGACGACTTGCCTGAAATAATAAATATTTAATTAAATTAAAATAAAGTTTGAAGTAATTATTTACAGTAGCTTTAGGGGTCGCTCCTTTCTTCATTTTCGTTTGAATGGGATTGAAAAAATATAGTTCAAGAAAGTTTTGAAACTAGTTAATAGAATTAATCTAACAGAAATTTTATTAATATTGAAATAAAATTCATTGCATTTTGATTTGGTATGTATTAGATATTTAAGCTAAGTTATATTTAAGCTAAGTTATATATAGTCGGAATATATTGACAAATGGGATAGTTTTTCAAATTAAACTATTAACAGATATGGAACTCATTTCACTGACGCTTCTACCTGTATACGAACTTCAAGATTTTTATTTGTGTTACCATAGGAGGTTAAAAAAATGGAAAACACTGATATTATAATTATTATCTTTATCACATATTATTATTTTATTATGTTTTACGAGAATCTATAGAACCGTATTTTTTATTACAGTTGGATTTGTTTTTTCATCCACTTTATTGATCTATTGATATACTTTCATCCAACTATAATTTAAACTACATTTTGAAATAAATTTAAATATATAAACTAGTGTTTCCACAGCCCTTCTCCTGCAGCGTTGTTTTTATGTCTGCAAAGAAACGCCAATACGTATACTTAAAGAATATAGTGAACGGAGTTGTAATTCAGACTGCAGGTCATATATTTTATTCTTTTTTTAATTTATGTTGGATCGACCTACTATAATTTAATTGTATAAAATCTTTATTTACTTTTTCTTAAGCAATATAGATTTATATATTGAAAATAACGTATACGAGGTACTACTTTTGAGTGAAGTTGAGCACTAGAACTATGACTGATATTTTTGTTTCTTGTGAGGGAGAATCTTTCAGTGTGAATTGCTTCAATCCATAAAAATATTTTTTTTTTGGGTCATAATATGGTTTAGTGGCAGTCGTGTGTTAAGTATGGTCAGAAGACATTAAAATGGGGCTTCTAATTAGGTCATTTCAATACTTTACTTTAACATAGTTTTGATGCCCGTACCAATTAAAATTTTTAAAGTTTAATTTTTATATCTTTATCTATAAACTTTGAATAGATTTTTTTTTTAAATCAGTTCAATCTCGGGCTAACCTAAGATTTTCTCTCTTTTATATTTCAAATGCAATTCATGGAGCAACAATAAATTCCATTTCATTGAAAAAAACTTAAAATCCGGCATAGAAATGCAATCAAGAAATTTTCTACGTCATCTCGAATTGCATATAAAACAATTGCTTTGCTGGAAAGTTCGAGTGAAGAAAATTAAATTGCAAAGTTTGAACGAAACTTCCATGAGCTTCACAAAATCTAAACGGAAATAGCAAAGATAATGCAAATAATTACAATAAGACAACGTAGCAAGTAAGTAAATATTGAAAGTATAGGCAACATATAAACAAACAAACAAACAAGCAAGCAAGTAAGTAGACAGACAGACATTGTACACACAATAAAATACATATAAAAGCAAACAAATCAAAGATATGCAAAAATGTTTTGCGGGCATTAATTGCATTTCAAAAACTGAAAGAGTATTGCACTTTCAATTAAGCCTGGCAACCGGAAGTTAAGTGCTATATTGAGGCGTTGCTGACGACATTCCATTGAAATGCTTAAGAGCAAAATGAGGTTCGACTACCCTAAAAACATTTCAAACCGACATGAATACTTGGTATCACTTTACAAATTCTAAGCCAAATAAATGCAAATGTCGAAGATATAAAATGAGTGCAATATTTTAATTGAAAGGTGATGCTCTGCCACACCAAAATTAAGTGCATGTGCAACTGCCTGATGCACTTTGAAACCTTAGAAGTTAGTTTCCTTTACTGCTCCTTGTTGTCCTTTGCCCTTTGTTGTTTGCATTTAAGTTGCAATTTTGCATCGCATTGAAACAAGGATTTTATTTGAAATGCAAACAATTAATGTATATCGAAATTGATTTATGAGTTTATGAGTTTTTGCTTTTAAGAGGAAGTCCTTTGGGTAGTAGCAAGGCGTTGTGGTTAGCATTATAAGTATGAGTGCTAGTCGAATGAATCAAAAGACAATACGCTATTTGCCAACTTTGTGCTAATATTAATTATAATTTTAACTAACTTTATGTATTTCAAATATTTACTTGCAAATGTTTGAATAAAACAGATTTTAAGTTTTAATTACAATCGACCTTTCAGTGTGAGTTCATAAAAGGTTTAAAGTTAAGCGAACTTAGGCGATATGATAAATATATTTTTGATATTTATTTATCATTAGCAATCTAATAGTGATGTAAACTTTAAAAAGAAAATTAAAAACAGTTTTTTATGTTAAACAAATGCTTTATATATTGAAATTCTTTTTATTCATTTTTTGATTAATAATACGATACTTATAATATGTATTTATTTGATAAATATGTGTATAAGCATATATGCTAATTAGGCGTAATTCATATATACTCATATATCTGGCAACACTTGTATCATTTCAGTCTACCTTTTCGCTAAAAGCAGTTGTTTAATTTGTCACTATTGTAAAAAGTTATATTGATTTGAAAATTATTAAAATATCTAAAGAAATACGTTTACTCTTTAATATTGAACTATATATGTAAATCATTTAAAAATAGCAACCTACGCAAAGTCAAATACAACGAAATTGAACTATTTTTGAAATAAATCATTATGTGCGATAAAAAATGAGTTGAATACAAGAATATTTAACTTAAACGATAATGGTTAAAAGTTTATGACCCTTTACGAACGACTTTAAAGCTTCAATAGACGACAAAAAAAAATTATGTGGAGTGTTTGGAGGAAATTTTCTAATACGACCTGCTCCCGCCAAGTTCAGTGATTTATTCGATTTTTTACTGTTCACAACTCGATCAAAATAATTACAAAAAGACGACCAGAATTGAGTTATGTTACAGAAAAGGAGTTGTGTTCCATTGGGACTATGTCAGGCTACACATATCTTTGTTAAATCAAAACAAATTGACTGAATTTAGAATGTTTTTAATTTTTGATGGAACCCTCGTATATCCCAAATCTTTCACCAATGAACACATTATGTTTTTTGCAAGATTTTTTTAATGGTATAAAAACACCATATATAAAAATCCTGCTGAAAATCACTTAGTCACTTAGTTTTTTGCTTATAAACCGCAGAAATTCTACACTGATGGTAACTCAGCTCTTCAAGATCCTCGCTCGGCTACGTGTCTGGTACTAAGATATAATTAAAAAATATTTGTAACACTTAAAATGAAATTAAATAAGGTGTATATGTATGTGGTTTGAATCAAACTCATAACTTATTCAGGTTTTTTTCCTAGAAATTAGTTTCTTTGTCATAATTGATTTTAAAATAAAATTTGTTATTAAATAGATATGTTTATATATGCTAAAGAACTATGAACTTATCTAGTTTGTACTAAAATTTGCAGAATAATTATACTTCTCGTTCATTGTAGCCTGGGGACTTCGTATCTACAAACGAGAGTAACTACATTTGTAATTAAAGTTTACAATTACTCAGGTTATGGCAATAACTAAGCGTTTCTAAAGTGATTTCCTTTACATTTACAAAGTACTTAAGAAACAAAAAAAATGCATATTGAAGTTAACTTATATATATATGGTTATATTTAATTCAACTAGTTAATTAGGCAATACTCGAAACAGCTGTATGGTCAGCCAAAAATTCAATTAATTAAAATAATATAAAAAATAAAATAAAAATTTTGTTGTCGTAGTTCACTACTGTTCGAAAAAACGTCTTTACTAATTAATTAGATAATTATAGAATAGAATAGAATAGTTTTGAAATTTAACAATTAAAAATAAAAAAAAAAAAAATATAATTAATTAACTAATTCAATTATTCTATATCTGGTTTATGATTTCGTTCTAATATATAAATACAGCAAGTTAAATTGTTAACAAAAAAAAAATTAAATTTCATAGCAAAAGTAACAAAACTCCAGCAAAAACATGCGAACATAAAAAATCAAGTACGGCTTTGGATCAGTTGGTTAAGGTGCGCTGATTCTGAGCTTCATATTTGGCAGGACCCGAGTTCGATTCCTGGTACTTGCAGTCTCAAAAATAATTATTTACGAATATTTAAATATAAGAATTATTTCCAAGATCACTGATGAAGGGTATTTGGCAATACTCGAAACAGCTGTATGGTCAGCCAAAAATTAATTAATTAAAATAATTTAAAAAATAAATTTTTGTTGTTGTTTCACATCTGTTCGAAAACCTCTTTAGATAATTAATTAGTTAATATATAATTCATACAACACGTCGCAATATATATTGTGTACATGGTTTTATATCCTTAAACTGGTAAAGAAACATGCTAACTTCGTTTCAAAATATAACATATAAATATAAGAAAGTCAATATTTTAACAACTCAAACAAGTAAATCAGCTTTCCGGTTCAACAATAATAAATCATTCTACATATATGTATCTCAACATGGAAGAAGCTTCATTTACAATTAAAGGCAATAAATTTTTATACAACAATTAATCATTTCATTTCTACTGATCATAATCAATATCCTTTGGAACAAAAAAAAAGCTATGCTCTAATCTGCCCAAATCTAAGCTAAAAGAAAAATATTTCTTTTTCCCCTTTTATCAAAGGAAATTCCTTTAGAAAAACCATTGGTCACTCGTAAAGTGGCATTTATATTTCGGCGGCTTTGAATGAATGCCATACTTTACAGTCGACGCAAACCAATTGTCCTTTTGACAATTATAATTAATGAACATTAACATCCGTTGATAGTAGAAAAACTATTTACGCAGAAAACACATAATTTATTCGCACTCAATAAATCTTAGAGATACTTTTGTGATATGTCATGCAATTTTAATTAATTAAAAGGATTAAAATCTTTGAAGAAACAACTAAGATTTCTCACAATAAAACAGGAAAAATTGTGACAAAGCTTAGGATGATTTATTTATTTACTTGTACACTTAACATTTTTTTTAATTCTGGACCATATTATCTTGAAAAATATTTTTTGTTAGAATAACAAACTAAAGACAAAACCTTGGAAACGGAA